CTAAAACTTTTGGATTGTGTTTGGATAGTTTTGATTGAGAGGATAGTATGGGAAATGGATCCAGTACTTACAGCAGCAGTTTAAAGAGGCAAGCCTTTGTGTGTCCCCATTGTTTTACAGTTTGTTTTGAGCAGGTTTTTCTTTCAATTTGTCTTTAATGAAAGACTGGAGATTGATGTACAGGAAAATTGGAAACAATTTATTATTATGCCAAATTTTAGCCTACCTATCATTAATACAGTTTAAAATTATTTAAGTTTTCAGCACATGTCATCAAATTCTTCTTGTCTTTTGAAAATATAATGGACCAGAAGTTTATTTGTGATTGCATACTAGGAAAACATCTCATTTTGAAACTTACTTGATATATTAAAGAACACACCAGTTATAAACTCAGCTCAGTCTTTAGGCATCACTCCTAGTGTACCTTACACATTATTGTTTTGTGGTAATGTATAGAAGTCCATAGGAACTGCTGTTACCAGTGATTGTATGTGAGGTGATAAATGATTAGAGCTGTTTCCATATTTAATAGGAAAGTTCATTGTTAACAAGTATGTGAAGGATTCTGAATGCAAGTGGTTTGAAGTTTTAAGGCTTCCCTAAGTGGTTATTCTATGAGAATTCATTTTGAAGGTAGAAGACTGCTGTCTATCACTCATAGTTGAATTTATTTGTATTCTAACAAAGAGAAAAAATACACTAAGGCGGGCCACCTTTTATGTGTGATACAAGCTCCTCCCCTTCCCTCCCTCTGTTTTCTTTTGCATATTGTGTTGCACAGTAGAAAACTTTGGGAGAAATTCTCAGACACGCAGGAAGTGAAATCACTGGCCTTTAAGATTTTGTGTTTTCCCACTCACGTCTGTGTCACGTGCACACACATACCCTGCTCACAGGCACTCAATGCTGAGTTTACAGTTTACCATTGTTAGAGATTCATACAGGTTTTTTTTTGTTTGGTTGACAGTTTCTTTATGTCACCACAGCTGCAGTTATTGGTGATATAATGTGATAATTTCTTAATCTCTCTTTCATAATTACTCCTTTATGGAATTTCTTAATACTTTTGCACAAATTTGAGTTTTAGTTTTGATTTTCAAATAGTTATATAAGTTGTAAAATAAGTTAGTGTATTTTCATTTGAGAACAGTTTCCTCCCTTAAATTGTCCTGCAGAAATGGCTATTTTTTAGGGAAAATAGTTTTTTACAGCTACTAAACTGTATTTGTTATTTTTGTATATGCATAACCAGGGTGGTGAGATCACTAATATTTTAGGGAATACCTTTGCTATATTTGATTTTTTTCCTATACATTTAAGTTATTACTTAAAATTATTGATAGAAATAATGTTGTGAAGACAGCATATAAGCAACACTTAAAGTCAGAGTAGAAATCATTTCTGAAGACAAATCAGAAATGCTGCCAGTGCCAGGTAATGGAAGTGGAAGGGCAGCATTCACATTGTGCAATTGCTTAAGATATGCACAGAGACAAGAGTCCGTTCTCATGGGGGGACAGGTTCTCTAGTAAGATAGTTAGATGGGACAAAATGATCTAAAATATGAAATGCAACGTAGGCGCCATATTGTAAATTGTGCCAAGATTATGCAAATTGTAGTTATTGATCAAAGTTGTTTCACTGTTGTTATTTTAAAGGAAATATTGAATGTCAGAAAGTCTGTAATATGCTTTATTTGACAGATGTAAATAGTGTATACAGTCTTATATGTGGCAGAATGGGAGGTATTTAAATTTTAGTTTTTTTTTTCTTTAGAAGAGAATGTTTATAAGGAAAAACACCCTAATAAATACTTTTGGTTGGCCACGAATCCTGACTTTGCATTACTGTTTATTTTTACTATAGGTATTTCTACAATTAAAAAATTTCAAAGCAAAGTAAAGGTATATAGAATATATTGAACATTTCTAAATTTGTAGACAGCACTTTTAGTAATTTTTACAACACAGGTAGTTACCATCAATGTACCTACCATACATACTAGAAAACTAAAGTTAAAGTCATTGGGTCTCAGACTTAAAGGTTCTTATATGCCTGTACTTCAAACTAATGTTTTCTTTAGTGTGTACTATTGCAATGAGAGAGAAAAAAGCGACATCAAAATAATGTATTATTTATGGGCTTTTCAACTGAACTAAGAAATGATCTATTTTATCTTTATTATAAATCATTAATATTAGTAATGTTAGAATAATTTACCCTAAGATAAGGAAATATATATTCTAGAGTATTATCAAAGTATTATTGGGAGGCTTTTATATTACAGGAATTGTGCTTAGATCTTAAGTTTGAAAATATTTTGATAGTGGCTATAGCCAATCAGGAATGGACCCCTGCCACACTATTCAGGAGGATATTTATGTGTGTGCAGGTCCACCTGTGTTAATAGACACTGAGGCCTGAAGCCAGGCTCTGATATTTCATTAAACAGGCTCTTAAGAAACAGTACTGGAGGGCTGGAGAGATGGCTCAGTGGTTAAGAGCACTGACTGCACTTCCAGAGGTCCTGAGTTCAAATCCCAGCAACCACATGGTGGCTCACAACCATCTGTAATGAGATCTGATGCCCTCTTCTGGTGTGTCTGAAGACAGCTACAGTGTATTCATATATAATAAAATAAATAAATCTTTAAAAAAAAAAAAAAAAAAAAAAAAAGAAAAGAAACAGTACTGGAGCTTGACACACAGATAGATACACACTCACACAGAATTTTATGTGTATATGTGTGTATCCGAGTGTACATATATGAACTGTGTGCATGCAGGGGCCCGTGGAGGTCAGGAGAGGCATTGGAGCCCTTGGAACTGGAGTTATAGATGATTGTGAGCTCTTATGTGGAAGCCTGCAGTTGATACTGGGTCCTCTACAAGGGCAGTCAATGCTTTTAATCCCTGAGCCATCACTCCAGTCTCTTAATTGTAGTAATGAAATAAGATAGAATAAAAACAAGCCAGAGTAGGTTGAAGCAAACAAACTACTAGGAGAAAAAGAACCAAAGAAAAGGCACAAGAAACATACAGACATAGAGACATATATTAGCACACAGAAATTCCATAAAAACGACACTGGAAGTCATAAGAAATGAAAAAGACCAGTAAGGGGAAAAATGAATAAAAATAAAACTAATGCCCAAAGTATTAGGAGCCTGGGATCTCCAGAACTGCAATTGAGTTAGTTTTGTGTTGGCCATCTACTGCTGGGCATGGGATCTCTCCTTAAGAGTGGTTTGTATCCCCAGTGAGGCTGTTGGAGAAAACTAATTTTTCATTTGCAAGCAGTTTTTAATTGGAATAACTTCTGGGCCAGGGTCGGGGCCATGTGTCCACTTCTTTTCGGCTCTAGGACCCCAACTGGCTGAGATCCATGCAGGGAATATGCATGCTGCCTTACAGTGAGTTCATAATGTGTGTGTTGGTCCTGCTGGGTTTAGAGGGCCTTGTTTCCTTGGTGTCCTCCATCACTTCTGGCTCTTGTACTTTTTCCATCCTTTTCCATAAGGTTCCCGGAGCCCTGAGAAAAGGGGTGGAGACATCCCATTTTAAGCTGGGGATTCCAAGGTCTCTCACTCTGCACTCTGTTCCTTTCTGGGTTTTTGTTCCCATGTTCTGCAGGAAGAAACTTCTCTGTTGCTGGCTAAACGAGATATTGACCTGTGGGTATAGTAGAATGTCATTAGGTATCATTTTAATGTTCAGTTACTTTAGCAGAACAGTATTTGGATTGCCACCCCAGCAGTGTCAGGTGTTCGTTACATCTCATGGAGTGGGCTTTAGATCCAGTCAGTCCACTGACTCACTTTAATTTCCGCTCTTTATTTTGTAAAAGTCACCATTTTTCTCCTGCTAGGTCCATTTTTAGGACATATTTTAGGTCAAATGATAGTCACACGCTAAAAAATAATAGGTTCCTTTGTTTTTGTAGATAATTTGAATCTGACTTCCAGACTGGGTAATCTTTTTTTTTTTTTGGCTTTTCGAGACAGGGTTTCTCTGTATAGCCCTGGCTGTCCTGGAACTCACTCTGTAGACCAGGCTGGCCTCGAACTCAGAAATCCGCCTGCCTCTGCCTCCCAAGTGCTGGGATTAAAGGCGTGCGCCACCACCGCCCGGCTCTGGGTAATCTTTTTACCAGGTCTATACTCTGATTAAATTGCACCTGTCTCTAGTTCAATCTAGTAGAATGCTCGCTCTCTCTCTTCTTTCTCCCTCCCTCCCTCCCTCTTTCTCTCCATGTGTGTACAGAATACATCTATATAAACATACGTATATGACCTTAAACATTAATTACATGTTAGGCGATGAACATACAATGTTAAGTCACAGCCATGCTGCTGAGAAACATAGTATTAGGTGACTTTATAAACAGGACAGCGGAGACCTTGGGTGGCACGATGCCTGTTTCTAGTCTCACTTCTGGTCCGAGACTTTAAACCAGGAGTCACTTCCTCCCTTCCTGTCATTCCAGACACTTTCTGTCATTCCCTCAGTATGGTGGATGGCACTGGGTCGCTGGTTAACCAAATAAACGCTTAAGACAGTGACGGACAGCTACACAGTTCCTGTGAGAGACACCTACCTACTGAGGCTCAGTAATTACTACTTCCTACTTTTCTTCCCGGAAAAGTTCAAACCACGAAGCCTGACGGGGTCCCAAGTGCTGGTCCTAAAAGCCTAACCCCACTCTCCCGAGGCGCTTCACCCGAACCCCGCCCCTGCCCTCAAATGAGCTCATTGCGCAAGGCCCGCCCTCTGCCCGCCCACTGCTCGTTCCGCAAGCCCCGCCCTCTCCCGCTCACTGCTCAGCGTGCAAGGTCAGTCGCCAGGCTCTCCCCGGGTTCTCCTCGCAGGCCCCGCCCCCTGCCCGCCGCTCCCGGGGCCCCTCGCCCTCCCGGAGGAACCACACATCGTGCAAGATCCCGCGAGGGCGAGGCGTGGAGGGTGGGAGTCGGGGCCGTCAGGGCGGGGTCCTCCACAGGCCCGCCCAGCCGCCTTCCTCTCCGCGCGCCAAAGTCAAAGTGCGGGTCCCGCCGGCGCGAGATTGACGCTACAACCCCGAGCCGCCGGTACCGCCGTGTTCCTGCAGGTCCCGCGCCCGAGCCGTCTGGAGCGAGGCATGGCCACCCCACCTAAGAGGTTCTGCCTTTCTCCCTCGACCCGCATCAAGAAGGTCTCCATCGAGGGGAACATCGGTAAGGTGTCGCGGTGCGGTGCTGGTGCGTAGGCGATCCCGCGCCGGCGCGGTGGCTCGGCTGGCCCGGCGCCAGCGGGGACTTTGTAAGGCGCGCTCTGGACCACTGCACCCTTTGTTGGGTTCAGGGCGCAGTTGGGGGTGCTGTTTTTCTTGAGATGTAACTTAGGTGAGCGGACCTCTTTTATAGGTACGCTCTTCCGGTAGGCTTCACTGACTTGCGGTTTTACCGCAAAAGTGAGACCGTTTTTTATCATTTCCATTTCCCTTTGTGCTTCTTTGTAGTCAGCTCTTTCTCCCTTCCCATCCCCTTACAAGCCTTGACATGCTTCTTTTTTTAAATCCCTGCTTTGTTTTTCCACAATGTCCTAAGCAAAACCAGAGAGTCTGGTTTTCTGTGTCTTGTTTAGTATACTAAAGTGCCTCTAAGACTCACCCATGCTGTTTATTTCTCTAGAACGTTGTTTTTTTTTCTTTTTTTCTTTTTTTTCTTTCTTTTCCTTTCTTTTCTTTCTCGACTGGCTCTCTTTTTAGACTGCCTGTTTTGTAACTCACTATCTAGACCAGGCTGGCCTTGAACTCTCAGAGATTTACCTACTTCTGCCTCCCGAGGGCTGGAATTAAAAAGTACACCACCACGCCTGGTCCAGTGGAATGCTTTAAAAAAATAAATAATATTACAATGAATGGTATATGCCACATCGTCCTCGGTTGTTGACAGACATTTGGGTTGGCATTTGTAGCAATTCCTAACACTGTGCTAGCATACAGTTTTTAATGAGTTTGATAGTGTGCAATTTTTTACTCCCTTTCCCACATACAGGTAAGCACTGGGTTTTGGCTCACAGACTATGAGCGTCTATCCTTAACCTTACTGGGGGTAAGCTACACTGTGCATGTCATTTTGCAAGGTGAGCGTGAATTTTCTGGTCTTTTACATTTCCTACCATGGGAAACCAACTGACATATCCTGTTTTGGTACAGCTGTTAGGTTTGGGGCTGCAGGTTGAGTGCTGACTGTTCATGTATGCAACAGATGTTTTCATTGTTACCACCTTCAAAGCGCCTTCTCTTTGAGAAGGGAAGCAGATGTAAGCTTCAAGAGAGTAGAGCTGAGACACTTGTTCCACACTTAAGACGCACGCGCATCTGTGGAAGAGATCCTCATTTCCTATAAGTTCTTTGAGATGTCATGTTTATTAGTAAGAATCCTCGGAGCATCTTAGTGGATAAAGATGACCATATGAATGATGGGAGGAAGAGCTCAGTAAAGTCATCTTAGGGGTAAATTCCAATGGACAACCCCTTGGATCTGAACTATAATGGATTAATTTTCATCTCTCAAACTCGGGCAGGCAACATACATCGCGTCATCTGTCTCCCTTCCTTCATGCTTCTTAAATCTTCCTAGCACTGGAAAAGTTTGTGAGTGGGCTCCCTCTCTTGCCTTCCTGCTTCCAGAGCTGTCTTTCTACTTACAGATACAATCGTGTTATCCATCCTAACATCCCTCACTGCCCTCCCTACTGAACGGGAAAGAGCTGCACGTTAGTAGGTTAGTAGCCTGCGTTTGCACATTATTAGGAAAAATTACTAGCAGTTACAAGTTGAGGTTTCCCAAAAACGTCTAGATCTTTGACCAGAAAAAAATTCTGAAGCTTTGGTAAGCACTAGGCGTGCCGCTCTGTTTGTTGGAGGAAGTGTCATTTAGATTAAGCGTTCCTTTTTCTACAGGGAGGCTTGTCGCTGCCTACTGCTCTTGTAGGGTTGTTTACATTCCCTCACCTCATTTGTCAGGTCCAAATAACCTGTTACTGTAAAAATTGTGCAATCTGTGAAGACTAGCTCATCATTCTTAGGTTCTTCCTAAAATTTGAGGTTTGCTTGGTCCTTTTTGCTTCCATGGTTATGTAACCTGTCTTCTCACGTTCTGTGTTACTGAGCTATCCCGTAGGTTAGATCTAAGGGAGCTCACTTTACTGTATTCAGAGTGACTTTTAGAATGGTGGTGCTTGTTTAACGGTGGAGACTCGGTTAGTTAACCAGGACTTTCTAGTTGTTGTTTGTGTTTTGTTTGAGACAGGGTTTCACCTGACTGGCCTGTGTAGACCAGGCTGGCCTCAGACTCACAGAGTTCTACCTGCTTTTTAGTGCTCAGGCTCAAAGCCTTGTGCACCACCTCTCTTCCTATTCATAGGTGTTCTTGTTGTCTTTCACCTTCATGGAATGTTGGTTCATTACCTCTTTCTCCAGCTCTCATCTCCCTCCAGAACGTTAAGGAAGAAGCTGCCAGTGAGTTTTCGGGGACTGCAGCTGACTGTGTATGGTTGCTCAGCTGGAAGTAAAATTTAACGTTTACAGTTTTAAAGTCTGACTGTGTGAGCCTTCTCTGGTTGTAGTCATTGTTGGAAGCAGGCTTGATGTGTTAGCCTGAAGTGTTTTTAGACTCTCGGCTAGTTTGAGATCCGTGAGTGTGTTTCTTGTGTACCCTGAATATCGTGTTCTCTTTTCTGCCTGGTCCAGTGAACCGTGCTCATTTCAATCATTCTTCTAGATGGCACTGCTGTCTGTAAACTGAAGCCCTTTCACACAAAATCTCAAGTCGCCAGGGTTCACAAACTCGGTAGCCACCCAGCTCATCTTTACATTTCTTTCTTATGTTTTTGGATTTAATACTTTGATGTTATGCTCCTCACCTGCCCTGTCTGTCACTGAATGGATCTCCCTTTCCTCTGCTCTATGCACGAGTCTTTAAAGTCCTCCCTGGCCCCCTTTTGCCTGGTATAATGCTGGAGGTTTGAGCGTACTTCTCAAGTCAAAGGCAGTTCTTTTGTGCAAGTCTCAAGTCCATTTTATAAGGAAGAGGACACTTGACAAATATATTGAAGCTACATAGTTGTGTGTGTGGGAGTGTGTGTGTCTAGTAAGAGGCAGAGGAAGAAAAAACATGCTGGTCGGTGATGCCTTGTATAACTGCATTTGGTGACTTCTGATAGAAAGGGCGTGGTGCTCGTTAGAAGTACTGCTAACACCCTCTTAGAGTCCAGACTCACTGATAGAAAATAGTGAGTATAGTGTGTCCTGATTACACATAAGCTCTTTTTGTTCTTTTCTTCCCTAGATATCTCAGAAATTAGTGAGCAACTGGGAAAAATAAAACACAACTATTCTTTTTTAAAACAGTTTGATAGAGAGCACAGAAACATACAAGCGAGGCAGATTTCTACAGCTTTTACTCCTAGGAAGTAGTCTCTGGATGGCCTTTCCTTCAGTCTCTGCTCCACGATTTGTCTCTGTATCTCCTCCCTTGGGTATTTTGTTCTCCCTTCTAAGAAGGACCAAAGTATCCACACTTTGGTCTTCCTTCTTCTAGAACTTTTAAAAATTTTATCTTTCTCCTTTACAACAGCTGCTGGGAAGTCAACGTTTGTGAATATCCTAAAGCAAGTCTGTGAGGACTGGGAGGTGGTTCCTGAGCCTGTCGCCAGGTGGTGCAATGTACAGAACACTCAAGATGAATTTGAGGTATGAGACAATTTAAGCGAGTAGCAAAACCTCCCCTGGGCTGGAGCTGGCTCAGCAGGTGAGATCACCGGCTGCTCTATAGGACCCAGGGAGCAGCTCCTAACCAGCTACATCTCCAGTTCCAGGGTTCTGATGCCCTCTTCTGGTCTCCATGGGCACCAATGACACGTATGTGTACAGACATCAATTCAGGAAAAACATCCATACATTTTTTAAAAAGTTAAAATTCTATAGGTAGAGAAGCAGTCAGTGTATTGTGTCTCTTGGACAGCTCCCCCTCCTCTCCAATACAACTTTCTTTTTTTTTAAAGATTTTATTTATTTATTTATTTATTTATTTATTTATTTATTTATTTTATTTATGTGAGTACACTATAGCTGTCTTCAGACACACCAGAAGAGGGCGTCGTCAGATCCGATTACAGATGGTTGTGAGCCACCATGTGGTTGCTGGGAATTGAACTCAGGACCTCTGGAAGAGTAGTCGGTGCTCTTAACTGCTGAGCCATCTCTCCAGCCCCCAATACAACTTTCAAGTCTAGTTGTATGTGCAAAAATTTAGTGAGCTGTGCATTTTAAGATTTATTTATTATATATAAGTTTAAAAGGTTTTAAAAGCTTAAAAACGTGAAATAATTTTAAAATCTAATTACAAGTTAAAACTCTTGAGTGATTTTTTTACATTTTAGATGGAAACAAATAAGAAAACGCAAAGCCTCCAGTAACTGAATGTTATTAATCTTTTCAGCCCTTCGTCATGTGGAAACCCATTTGTTTCTCATTTCTTTGTCTGATTTTTCATTTCTTTTCTCCACAAAATTTCATTTTGGACATGTTCTGTTTTACTCATCCTTTTCAATATGGCATTGCAAATGAGGGACTAAAAAGAGTTAAATTCCATTTTATCATAGTGGAAGTTGTGGTCGTGTGTGTGTATGTGTGTGTGTATGTGTGTGTGTGTGTGTGTGTGTGTGTGTGTATGTGTGTGTGTGTGTGAGAGAGAGAGAGAGAGAGAGAGAGAGAGAGAGAGAGAGAGAGAGAGAGAGAAAGAAAGAGAATATGCTTGCTAGGAGTTTTTGTTTCTGGAGAAATGAAATTGAAATTAGAAACAAAAGGAAACTCTGAAGTTCCGTCTGAAGCAAGTTGAAAAAAAAAGTACAGCTATTAATGTGAGCACATCTGGGATGGGGAGGAACAGGCTTATTTTACTTAACACTTCCTCATCACTCTTCTTCATCCTGGAAAATCAGGACAGGAAGGAACTCAGGCGGGGAAGCACCCTGGGGGCAGGAGCAGCTAGCAGAGGCCTTGGAAGGTGCTGCATACCACCAGCCCAGTGATGGCTCCACCCATCAGCCACTAATTAAGAAAATGCCCTGCAGGGTTGCCTAGAGCCAGATCTGATGGAAGCATTTTTCTAAATTGAGGCTCCTTCCTCTCAGATGACTGTAGCTTGTGTAGAGGTGTCATAAAAACCAGACAGCACAGGGATCTGTGTAACTTTTCGGGGGTGGGAGGTGTTCTTTTGGATATAAGGTTTTGATAATTAAAAAATATTTCTCACACTTATATTTACAAAGCATAGTTAATTTTAGGCTGGGAGGGGGCACAACTAAATAGATCCTGATTTCTTTGAATTTCAAGTACTGAATTTTAAAGGGACTTCCTCACAGGGAACCCATTTTCTTAAATTTTTATGTGTGTGTTGGAGGCTGTGGTCTTCTGTACTTTAAGTGGGGTTCAGAAAGTGTGGGAAACGGGGTTTTATGGATAATATGAAGCATGAAGCATTAAATAGGTCATGGCTTCTCTATTTTTGGATATAGTTTCTCCTTCTCCCCACACCCAGCATTTACTAAACTCCAAAAAAGTGGGGTTTTAAGGGCCGGGATGTAGCCCAATAGTAGGTCGCTTCCCTAGCATGCTTAAGGCCTTGGGTTTAAGCCTTAGCACCCCAAAAGCGAAAGGGGCTTTGTTCTTCACGGAGCCCTTCTCCAAGTCATTCTTGATCTGAGTTTTGTAGTTATAATGTGAATTACTCAGAGTTTAAGTCTCAGCTCTTTTAGAATACTGTCAGCAGTAGGATTGTTTGGAGACCTAAGTGGCCAGTCCTCCAGTAAAAATGGCTTTCATTTTGCTTCTTGGAGGTTATAGAGTCGGAAGGACTTGGTCCTCAGTGCCTCTCCTCTCCTTCATGCTTAGCTTCTTTTGTTCTAGTGGATTGTTTTTTTTTTTTTTTTTTCTTGCTGTCTAATGGCTGGAGTATTCCGTGTTACCCGTAGGCTTCCACCAGTGTCAAAGGAAGACAAGATAAGCCAGAAAGATCATATGTTTTCCTTCCTCATTCCGTAAATTCTGGTGAAAGTTGAGGGTGTTAGATTTTCTGGAATTGGAATTAAAGTTTTCTTTTTCTTTTTTTTTCCCCTGAGACAGGTCTGTGTAGCCCTGGCTGTCCTGGAACTGTAGACCAGGATGGCCTTGAACTCGAGATCCACCTGTCTCTACCTCTGGGATTAAAGACATGTGGTTCCACCACTTGGCTTCTAATTACAGTGTTTTAGCTACCACATGGATACAGGGAACCAAACCTGAGTCCTCTGCAAGAAGAGCAAGTGCTCTTAACCACAGGCATCTTTCCAGCACTCCCCCTCTCCACGTCTCTTTTGAACCTCTTAAAAGTTAAAATAGCTGGGCATAGCCTTTAATTCCAGCATTTGGGAGGCAGATATAGGTGCATGTCTGTGAATTCCAGTACAGCTAGAGCTACATATTGGGACTTTGTCTCAAAAAAAACCCATTATACAAAACAGTTAAAGTAACTCTGTTGGCAACTATATTGGTTTTTGTTTGTTTGTTTCTTTTGACAATTTAAAATAGGAATTGACAACGTCTCAGAAGAGCGGTGGGAATGTTCTTCAAATGATGTATGAGAAACCTGAACGGTGGTCTTTTACCTTCCAATCATACGCCTGTCTCAGCCGGATCCGAGCTCAGCTTGCCTCTCTCAATGGCAAGCTCAAAGATGCAGAGAAACCTGTATTATTTTTTGAACGATCTGTGTATAGTGACAGGTATGCAAATGGCTTATATTTGGCTCTTGGGAGTTTATAACTAGACATTTTCTTTTTTCTCATTTCCTGGTAATCAAATTAGAGACTGAGCTGGAGGTTTTAGATAGAAAATGACATTTAAAAATACTTTTAGCACTGAATTGCTAATTATGTTAGGACAGGGACTGGAGAATAAGATAGCCATCTAATTTGAATTTCCAAAGAAATTCTTTCCAATCCTTTAAAATCCTCATCTGTTCTGATTATATCTGGATGTGCTCCTAAACTCTTTTTTTTAGTTTTTTTTTGAGACAGGGTTTCTCTGTGTAGTCCTGGCTGTCCTGGAACTCGTTCTGTAGACCAGGCTGGCCTCGAACTCAGAAATCTGCCTGCCTCTACCTCCCAAGTGCTGGGATTAAAGGCGTGTGCCACCACTGCCCGGCGCTCCTAAACTCTTAACTAGAAAAAGGAGATAAAAATTAAACATGTCTAAGATGTTTTAGAATTAACCCTTTTTTTTAAAGATTTATTTATTTTTATTTATATGAGTACACTGTCACTGTCTTCAGACACACACCAGAAGAGTGCATTGGATCCCATTACAGATAGTTGTGAGCCACCATATGGTTCCTGGGAATTAAACTCAGGACCAAGTCAATGCTCTTAACCGCTGAGCCTTCTCTCTATCCTGAATTACCCTTCTTATATCAGGAGCTTTTCACCTCCAAAACTATCTTAGAATAGGGGCTTATAAAGATTTTGATGTCAGGACCCCTTTCCTTTTACTGATGAGTAGTCTAAAAAATTTTGTCATTTGGTACGTATATTATTAGAAATTAAGATTGAGAATCAAGCCAGGGGGTGGTGGTGCATACCTTTAATCTCAGCCCTTGGGAGGGTCACTTTATCTCTATTAGTTTGAGGCCAGCCTGATCTATAGAGTGAGTTCCTGGAGTAGTCCAGAGAGTAGTCCAGGGCTACACAGAGAAACCCTGTCTCAAAAAAAACCACAGTAACAACAGAAAGATTGAGAATTGATATACAAATATTTTATGTTAACTTCCAATAAAAAAATTTTAAAACAAAGATTATAGTGAGAAGAGCAGCATTACTTTACATTTTATAGCTCTTTAATGTCTGACTTAACGGTGGGCATCATACATGCTTTGATTTTGATGCAGTATATAGTAGTGTCTGAGGCAAGCCAGCATCTCAGAATTGGAAGAAGCTCGGAGACCTCCAGGGATCCTTAGCCAACATTTTGAGAGCTATTGGCAAAGAACACATTTCTTGTACTTGGGAAGACATTTCATGTGTGCTTTCCAAGGGACACAAAGCTACAGGATTTAGGAGCATATTTATACCGGTGTTCTCTTTTCTGTTTCGTGTGTCTGTGTTTGAAAGGATGTACATGCTGACAAAGATTCTCTTTCAGGTATATTTTTGCATCTAATTTGTACGAATCTGACTGCATGAATGAAACAGAGTGGACGATATATCAAGACTGGCATGACTGGTTGAACAGCCAGTTTGGCCAAAGCCTTGAGTTGGATGGAATAATTTATCTTCGAGCCACTCCAGAAGTAAGACCGATACACATTTGCTTGTGCTGTTGAAATTACAAAGTGATATCAGAAATCACAAGAGGGTTGTCATATAATAACAATTTGAAGCCAACGTCTAAGAAGGAGAGATATCTCAGTGGTTAAGAGAACTGACTGTTCTTCCAGAGGACCCAAGTTCAATTCTCAGATTCCACATGGTGGCTCACAATGACCTGTAACTTCAGTTCCAGGGAATTTGACAACCTCTTCTGGCCTCTGTGGGCACTACATACATGGGATGGCCAGATGTATATGCAGCCAAACACGCATACACATAAAATGGACCCAGGCCTTCCCTGCATATGTAGCAGTTGTGGAGCTTGGTCTTCATGTGGATCCTAGACAAATTGAGTGGGGGGCTGTCCCAAAAGCTTTTGACTGTGGGATATGTTTTAGCTGAGCTGCTTTGTCTGGCCTCAGTGGGAGAGGACGTACCTAGCCTTGCAGAGACTTGAAGTGCAGGTGTGTGTGTATGTGTGTGTGTGTGTGTTAGAGAGAAGGAGAGAGAGAGAGAGGAAGAGGGGGGGTGGAGAGAGAGAGAGAGACCCACCCACCTACTCAGAAAGGGTGGGGTAAGGATAGTGGGAGGGTGTAACCAGGAAGGGGGCAGTGAGCTGGGTGTAAAGTTAGTAAGTAAAAAAAAAAAAAAGAAAGAAAGTAAGTAAGTAAATGAATAAACCCTTTAGCTTCTCACCTGGAAGCTCACAGCACTACAAGTTTTCTTCACAAACTAGAAATCTAGATGTGGCAAGTTTGGACTTCTCTGTTTTTCAACCAGTCCTATTTTATTTTTTTGTTTCAATTCCTAACTTGTTCTGATTCTCATATCCCATCAGAGCTAGAATAGGAAACTCCCTGAAGCAACTTGTAAAACTCAGGCTTAATGAAATGGGACTTTGAATAGGTGTTTTTAGCTGTTGTTGGAGTCTTAGGACCAGTAGGTCTGGAGACACAATGGAAACAATAAGTACTTGCTTTGTGATATCACAACTGTCGCGGTTCACTTTAAGAAGTATTTTATGGTTACTTGTGACTTAGTACAAGTGACAAACTTGCGAAGAGATCTTAGAGATCTTGTCTTTTTCCCCTAAGGGAGATCCCCTGGAAATACCCTTGTAGTAGGTAAATCCCTATTCTGTGTATATAGTACATAATGACTCCATAAAGGTCAGGTCAGCTAGACCGACTGACTAGTGGGAACTTCATATTTAAGTACTCTCATGTACATTCTTTCCCCACTTCCCTCCTCTCCTAGCTTCTACCATGTCCTCACTTTCAAAGTCATGCCCTCCTAATTCTTTAATTATTAGTGTTTTATATATGTATGTATATAATATATATTATATGTGTGTGTGTATATATGTATATATATATACATATATATACATATATATATGTATATATATGTATATATATGTATATGAAATACAGCCTGTTGAATCCCTTCAGTGTTGTCCCTATGACTATGTGTTTAGGGCTGACTGCTTGGGATTGGACAACCTGTCATGGACCTTATTCCTGGAGAAGAGTGCTTCTCTCTGTCTCAGCATCTTGTTTTTTGAGACAAGGACTCTGAACTGGAAGCTCTCTGGCTAGAATGGCTGGCCAGCCAGCCCTGAGGATGTGGCTGCTTCTAACCACCTTCTCCCAGGTTTTTTGTCTCCTGGGGCTCTGTTAGGTCCTCCTGCTTTTGTGGTTAACGCTTTACTGACTGAGCTGTATTCCCAGTCTCTCATTTATAATACCTTTTGTTTTTGTTTTGTTTTCAAGACAAGCTCTCACTTTGTAGTCCTGGCTGCCCTGGAACTCACTATGTAGACCGGGCTGGCCTCCAAGTCGTAGAGGCCTTTGCCTCTTGGCTGCTGGGATTAAAGGTGTGTTACCATACCTGGCTCATTTATGTCTTTTAATTAAAGATTATTGAAAAAGGATTCATAGCAGACTGTGGCCCAGTTTATGTGTTGTTGTGTCTCTGAATGTTATTTGTGAGAGAGCCATTTTTTTTCTCCCTTTCTGCATGGCTGGGGATGGAACGCAGGACCGTGTACATTGTAGATGGGTGCTTCGCTAGAGAGCACAGATGGAGGATCTTCCATCTGAGTGTCTGTGGGCTCTCACAAAGTGTATGACATTTCATTTGTGTGTGTACTAGTAGAGAAAAGTGATTTAGAATACCATGGTCTGATGTGGCTGTTTAAGTTTATGATTATTAAAATTATATGTAAAGTTTGAAAATTTTGTTCCTCAGTCACCGCATTAGCCATGTTTCAAGTACTGAAAAGCCACAGTGGCTGGTGTCACCTTGCTAGATACTACAAATAGAGGACAGGTATAAAGCACCCTGTGTTCTTTTAGGTCACTCTTACAGGGATGGAGCACAGAAAAGCACAGACTCGAGCTTAGCACCCAATTAGAATGGCTAGATCGACACACTTTATTTTCTAAAACAAAAGTGAGGTAAATATTTAATGAACTATTAGCTCTTCCCCCACACTCTTATCATACTTAAATTAGTTTAGTGTATTTTATGTGTGAATACTGATTTATTTTCTTTCCAAAGTTCTTACTTTAGAACTATCATCTAGCTAAAATAAGTACTTACAGGGAAAAATGAGATATTTCAGTTTTCTAGAAGAAATACGGGATTTTGGCTAGCGTAAAAGACATCAGAAGATGACATTTTAACAGCAGTAGACATAAATAGTTACTCAACTTTTTTCTTTCTTTTAGAAATGCTTAAACAGAATATATATACGGGGAAGAAATGAAGAACAAGGCATTCCTCTTGAATATTTAGAGAAACTTCACTATAAACACGAAAGCTGGCTCCTTCACCGGACTCTGAAGTAAGACTCTCTCACGCTGTCTGTGGCCACTGTGATTCTCTTTATCAGATTCTAGTCTAGGCATGAGTAGCAACATGGCCAGGGGCTTATTTTTATTCACGTCTTTGCTCATTTTCCCAAGACACTTGTTTGAAGACTTTATAACTGTCTTCTAATGTTACTTATGCCTTAAATGATACAGTAAGACTATGTCTGTGTCTATTAGGATACATTCAGAAATGTATAGCATAGCCTGAAGTTGAATACTGTTTTAATTTTTATGCTTCCACTTATACATTATTATTAGCCTTCATCTAAAATTATTAAATGTGAAATTTCAGAAAGAATTTATAACTCTGATTGTTTGCTCAGCTGACTGTACCTGTCTGCAGTCTGTTCTGGGAGTCCAGGTACTTGAGGCTGTCCTTATTATGTGCTCCTCTGGCCCGCTTTTCTCGACGTATCCAGAACGTGCTGTAGTCATTGGTAACTGTCACAGTACGACAGTGCTTATAACTAAGCATCCCTTGCCTTAGTAATGACTCTGAAATGTCGGAGTAGGGAGGAATACTAACAGCCTCATGCCAGAGATATGTTACAGTGTGCTTTCAGCGGAAAAGGGAAAGTTCTCAACGTGAGGAAAGGAAAAGGCAGGTTTTCTTTTTTTTTTTTTGTGTGTGTGTGTGTGTCTGTTTGTTTTGTTTTTTTGAGACATGGTTTCTCTATACAGCCTTGGCTGTCCTGGAACTCACTCTGTAGACCAGGCTATACCACTGCCTGGCTAGGAAAACACAGTTTTAAGGTAGAAAGAACATTGAATTTGTATATGTGTGTAAGGAAAAAAACATAGTGTATATGAAGTGCAGGCTGCCCCATGGTTTCATACTTACTGGAGATCTTGGAATGTATCCCATATGGCCAAGGGGAGCTACTGGGATATATTTTCAATCATACTTGAAAACACGTAGATAGTAGCCTGGTTAATGTCCTGAACTTCGTCCGAATCAGCTCTTAGACAGTATGTAACTGTAACTGCCCCTGAGGCTCTGAATGGCTTTTCTGGGTTTAGTTTTCTTCTATGTTTTTGGTAGTATTGGGAATGGAGCCCACTGCTTTAGACATGCTTGGTAACTGTTCTACAACTAAACTATACTAGTAGCTTCCTCATCTTTAAAACATAGCACCTCTTTCTCAGCTTTTTGCTTTTGAGAAATGCTGTATCATAATGCGTAGTTTTCTATATTCTGTAACTGAGATTACTGTTCACCTAACAGTAAATCTACATGTAAAGAGGAGATTGCTGCTGTATCACTACAGGATAACGTTAGGACAAAATAAAGATTGACAATATTTTGAGTTTTGAGTAGTAGGAGTTTTCCATATTTTTTCCTTGATTTAGTGCTTTCCTGATTTTGTTCAACTTTTTAAGCAGAACCAACTTTGGTTATCTCCAAGAGGTGCCTATCCTCACACTGGATGTTAATGAAGACTTTAAAGACAAACACGAAAGTCTGGTTGAAAAGGTAGGTTTGTTTAGAAAAAAGACTCAACAATCCTATTAATTTGTGAAAATAGCTTCTTACAGAAAAGCTGATATGAAGTTACGTTGAGAGGACTGGCAGTGTAGCTTGTGGGCGGAGTGCTTCCAGGCATTCATGAGAGCCTGGATTTGAGTCCCAAGATATCCCCCCCCCCCCCCCCCACCCCCCAACCAAAGAAAAGGAAGGGGAAGTTTAAAATTTGTAGGAAATTTTAGATTGTTTGAGTCCTGGTTTTGAATTCTAGCTCTGACCTGAGCTAAAATATCTTAAGCTGTTTATTTCCTTTTCTGGAAGATGGGATTCACTGCAGCATTGTACCTTTTCTCCTTTCCTCCTGCTTTCTCTTATGTTCTCCTTCACACCTCACCAATATGTCAGTGTTCTAATATAAATGTTTGTTTTTCAAGGGACTCTGTATGGAGGATACTCAGAGTTGTAGGGTATCAGTCTCATTCATTTTTAGCTGATATTTGGAGATTAGGTAATGCTATTTTAATTCTTTGTTGGAGGCCATGTTAAGGATGAATTGGCCTTATTCTAATCATTAAGTCATTGTATTAACAAAGGTTAATCTAGTCCTCAGATGGTTGAGGATTGATCATAATCTGTGAATAATGTCTTTTATACATATAAAGGAGAGACTTATGGATGAACTTTAAGGTGGTAATCAGAATTGTATAATAAATATTCTTATCCACGTTAGTTAATTTAGTGATTTTGTGTTTAAAGAAAACTACATACTTAGTTTTGAAAGAAACTTAGAGGCTATTTTTGTTGTTTGCTTGTTTCACTCATAAATTGTCCTACTTTTTGCTACAACAAAATTTTGACTGTATCTCAAAAAAATTGAAAGCCTCAATATTTAAAATTCTTTATCTATATAGTTGGCTCCCTATCATATAAAATAACACAAATGTAGAAAACTCAAGTGACTGACTTACTGTTTATGATATTAAAACATAAGGTAGAATTAACATAAGATATATTAAAATAAAATTAATAGCAATTGTGAAAACACCAAATGTCAATTTAACCAAACCTATAAAACCATTTTCTTAATTTTATTTTATTACTTTAAGTTTTTAAAAGATTTATTTCTTTATTGTATGTAAATTGGTGTATTGCCTTTATGTATGCCTGCATACTAGAAGAAGACATTGGATCTCATGAGACTACAGTTATAGATAGTTGTGAGCAGCCGTGTGGGTGTAGGAATTGAACCCAGGACCTTTGGAAGAGCAGCTGTTAACCACTGAGCAATTTTTCTAGTCCCTATTATAATTTAATTTATTTTTTAATCTGTGTAAGTGTTTTGTCTGCGAGTATATAAGTACAGCACATGTCTGTAGTGCTCTAGGATGCCAGGAGAAGATGTCAGATCCCCTAGAATTACAGGAGTTACAGGTGAACTGTCATACAGGCGCTGGGTCTTCTGTAAAACCAACACGTTCTCTTAAAACACCAAGTCATCTCTCCAGCACCACATTTCTTAGCTTTAAATAAACACTTTCTTAGACCTGGAATCATTTCACATTATTCTTTTTAAAATTAGTAATCCTGGAATCCTGGGTTGTATTCTTACAAGGCACCACCCTTTACCCTCTAAGGAGAATTTCATAGTCTAGAGTGGCGAATGAGAGTCATGCACTGTAGTCTTTATCTGCTGGCTCGGTTTATTCTGAAAGTACATAGCATTGTCCGTGCAGTAACGTTCCAGAAATTTATGTCTTGGGGCTAGAGAGAAGCCTCAGGAGTCTGGAGTTGGATTCCCAGCACCTGTGTGCTGACTTAGAACTGGCTGTAACTCCAGTTTCAGGGAATCTGATACCCTCTTCTGGCTTTTCCTGGCACCAGGCACACATGTGGTACATATTCATGCAGACAAAATATTCTCACATAAAATATAAAATTAAAAAAATATTTTGCCTTAATACTGCAGATTTAAATGTTTGAATTGCAAAGATGTTTAATAACATAAGTATCAATATCAAAGCTATATATATCATAGATCTATGTTATTTCTTTAAATGTACACACACACACACACACACATATGCATAGAGACCATAAAACTAGTGTTATGTCTTTTAGAATCCAGTCTTTTCAAAATGATATCAGCCTTAATGTACATATACATTGTACATATAGACTGTAAAACTAGTATTACAGGTCTTTTAGAATTGTATCAATGTTTTAAAACTTTTATCAGCTTTAAATGCAAATTAACAATTTTAGGCTATTCATCTTACTATTGAAATACTCAGTACTTGTTTTGAAAATAAATAGTTGCACTGTGATAGCTATTTATTTTTTCACATAATTTTTTTTTGGTTTTTCGAGACAGAGTTTCTCTGTGTAGCCCTGGCTGTCCTGGAACTCACGCTGTAGACCAGGCTGGCCTCAAACTTAGAAATCCGCCTGCCTCTGCCTCCCAAGAGCTGGGATTAAAGGCGTGTGCTGCTACTGCCCGGTGATAGCTATTTATATAGTTGGGGTGTTCAGCTCTTTTGTACTCATAATTAAAGATGAATATTAGATATCAAATTAATTGAATAAACGATATTAATTAATTTTTTTTCCTTCCTTCAGGTCAAAGAATTTTTGAGTACTTTGTGATTGCACAGGAGACAACAAAATGTTTCCAGATACTTCAGTTTTTTGTATTACCATTGCTTGTGATTCATACAAAAGCCTTTACAAGATTCAAGTTTTTAAACCATTTTTTGTTTTAAGAAAAACCCCTTTTCTTTATATATGTATATATAGTTTATTTAATATTTGTAATCGTGTGTAAGACTTTGCGTTCCTCCTTTACTCCCTTACATTCTTCTCTTCTGCTTGTCTTTCCACAGTTTTACATCAGGGGTGTGTATATCTCACCACAGGAAGTCTGGAGGTAGATTTTCCTAGAATCAGTGCAGTGAGTGGATAGATGCTCCAACAGGCCCCGCCCTCTCTGCCTTCTCAGTTGTTATCCTGAGTACAAGCTGAGAAGTGGAGTTTGGGGAGTCCCTGGAGCAGGGGTGAGGAGGCGTTTGCTTGGTTTTCTTCCTGTTCCTTTTGGTTTTGTTGGAGATGGAAGCTCTACAGAACTCTCTCCAGCCTTTGATGTTTTGTTTTCATTAAGTGCCTCTCCTGCTCTGCTTAATGGTGAGGATAGGCCCATGCTAGCGTCACCACAGTTCACTACTGTGTCTGGTGCGTTTGTAGAGGAGGAGGGTAAACTCTTTCCCGTTTGGTATTGGTATCACTCTATAAGTGTTTTAATCTTTAATCTGTTTCTTTGTCTGGGATGAGTACTCAGTTTTATTTACGTAAAATTTTGGGCCAGAAGAAATCTTTGTTTAAGAGGTAGCTAAGCTAAGAAGTTTATTTCCTGAGTATAAAGCTTCGTTAAAATAGGTACTGCTTTCCTCAGACGACTGCAGTTAAAATGCTTGTTTAAATTAGATTTGTTTTTTTTAAAGATAGGGTCTCTACACACCCCTAGCTGTCCTGGAACTCACTATGTAGGCCAGGCTGGCCTGGCCTTGCTTGCACTCACAGAGATCCTCACTCTGCCTCCCTCCCTATTCCCACCGCTCAGATAAGGTGTGTAACACCACACCTGACTCCGGTTTTTTTTTAAATCATTTGAGGTGCAAGTACAGATTTTCCTATTTTTCTTTTAGTTTCCTAACTCAATTTCTTTAGTTTTCGTGAAAAATGATGATAGAACAGGTGAAGGCTTTCCATTTTTCCCCGTAGGGCCTGTGTTGATGAGTGGTTCTCTCTTTAGCTTTCTACGTGGTGAGACACTGAGAAGCCTCTCCGTCCGATCAACCCCACCTCTCACCACACGGCAGACATGTTCCCTGCTCTGTCTGAAGTTAGTGGAGTCTGCCGACTTGAGATTTAAGTCACATTTCTGCCGAGAGTGCTGTGGTCACACTGTGCTTCGTAGATTGCTTGCTTTGTAGAATTTTTTCTTAATTTTTTTTTGTAGTCACAGAGAAATTACTGATAAAGCGATTTTTCTTTATATTTAGTGCATCATGGAAATGTTACAATTTTGTTGAACTAGGAAATAAAATTAACAAATACCGTGTGGCTTAAAGCTCCCATTAATAATGCCTGTATCTCTAAACTGCTTTCATGTTTAGTTGTAAAGTATGCTTATGTATAATTAACGAAGGTTTTTTCCTTTTTATTGTTTTTTTTTTTTGTCCGCTGTAGTTTTTAAAGTTATAATGTACATTATTTCTACCAAGTAATTAACCTATCTAATTCATATTAGGGAAAATTATAATTTCTTGAAACAAAGAATTGCATTTATTTTGAAGCTCTAATTTTTCTTTCTAAAATGTTACCTTTTATTTTTGGTTTCTTATTTGAAGATGATAATTTAGTGGGTTAGCACGGACAGTAGCCCTGACCTTTGAAAAGAGGACGCAATTTCAAGTCTGTAATAACCATAACCCATTTTGTGATATTTGTGATGTTGTTTTTTTGTTGTTGTTGTTGTTTGATATAAATAAATTTGCCAATTTAAATATTTGTCAATAAATGAATTTAACTTCCTCGAACCATATGGGTAGAGTTTAAGTTTTCTGAAGCAGGAATCATCTGGTTATCTTCTTGGAATTTTCTGGCTTTGTATTTTCCATGTAAGTGTGTGATCCATTTTCAGCGTTGTGAAGATGTCAGGTTTGTTGTGCGTTTGTGTGTGTGCACTGTGCTGTATGCCTGCTCCAGCCCCGTCTTTGCTTCCGTTTATTGCTCAGCTTTCTGAGGAGAAATGGCTATCTTTATGCAAGCCTTTCCCTAGGCTTGACTCTGGTTGTTGTATTTATCTCTTCGTTTGCCAACACCGTTGACAGTTTATTGTAGCTTTACAGTAATCCAGTTCACTGGTGTCACTCTTCCATTTGCCTGTTGACAAGGCTTGGCTTTGTACTAGGCTGGCCTGGAACTCAGACCTTGGTGCTGGATTATAGCTGTGCACCACCATGGTTAGCGTCTTTACAGTGTTGCGTTGGGCAATGCTGAGACCTTTCGTTCCCTATGAGAACGTTACAATCAGTTTGCCAGTAGCTACAAAAGAACCTGCTGACGGTACTAACTGGCATTTTGTTGGGTCTGTAGAACAAGTTGGGGAGCTCTGACATGTTGGATACTCTTGGAGTTTTGTTGTTTTGCCATCAGTGAACACGGATATCATTCATTTATTTAGTTCACTGACATCTTCAAAGGTGTGTCATTTTTTCATATATATCGTGTAGGTCTTGTATACATGTTTGTTTTATGCCTAAGTGGTAATGCATTTCCTTATATTAACTTTACCTTCTGCAAGATCACATGCTCTAGACTTTTGTTCGTTTGTTTTTCTGCCTGAATGATCTTGCTGCGGACAGAGACTTTTTCTGTCATTCCTTCCAATGAAGGTGCCTTCTCTTTTTGTTTTATTACGTTAGGTATGACAGGTGTTGAAAACAAACCTTGGTATAAGGAGATTGCTGAGCCTCGTTCCCCATCTTAACCAGGGGAGCTTTAGTTTCTTCCCATTAATGTAATATTAATTGTTGCAGCTTTTAAGAAGGAAGGGTCAATTTGTGGTAGCCTGTATAAACCTAGAGGATACTACTTAGTGAAATGATTTGGTTACAAAAGATAAATGCTATATGATCTTTATACGGAGTTAAAACAAACACACTGGGTGGAGAATAGTGATCACTGGAGAATAAGGAGAGGCTAGGCAAAGGGTACACAGCTTGATTAGGAGGAACAAGTTTTGTGAGGTGTGTCACAACATGGTGACTACAGTTAATAATGTATTCTTTTTTCCCCATTTTAAAAAAAACCCATTATTTATTTATTAACATGAGTACACTGTAGCTGTCTTCAGATATACCAGAAGAGGGCATTATATCCCATTACAGATGGTTGTGAGCCTCCATGTGGTTGCTGGGAATTGAACTCAAGACCCTTGGAAGAGCAGTCTGTTCTTCTGAGAGCCATCTCTCCAGCCCCAATATTCTTTTAAAAATCTTTTTATTAGTTTATTTTCTCATATATTCCATCCTGACACAGTTTCCTCTCTCTCTCTCTGCCCCATCTCCTCCATCTTTTTATAATTTAAATTTTATTTATTTTTTGTTGTTTTTTTAGTGTGTCTGTGTAACTGGATGTATTTTAGTGTTCCATGAGTGTGTAGGTTTCTGAGAAGAACAGAAGAGGGCATCTGATCCTGGAGCTGGAGTTCAGGCAGTGTTGAGCTGCCAGATGTGAATGCTACTAGGTCCTCTGAAGGAGTAACACCTGCTGAGTCGTTCTCCAGCTCCAATAGTGTATTTTTAAATACTAAGTGAATTGTATGCCTTTTCAACCACCAGAAATGATATTTGAGATAATAATTAGCTTAATTTAATCATGTTACATATATATAACATCATGACAAAATTATACTTCAGAATTATATATAAAAGTTTATATAAACTTCAATAGTTTCCTTTCTATTGCTGTGATAAAAAACACCCAGACAAAATGCAGCTTAGGGGAGGTAGTATTTATTTTGGCTCACAGTTAAGGTTCTGGTCTCTTTCTGCAGTAAAGACAGCATCAAGAACTTGAGACAGCTGTTCACAATCATGTCTACAGACCTGGAGATGGGACCACTCTTTGTTCCTATTTTGCTTGCTACCTGGGCAGAGAGGGAGGCTATCCTGATTTTATAATCACATGTCTCAAGTATGGAAGGGCAGAAGATTTTTCTGTCTCCCAGCACCAAAAGTTTCCTCATTTTCATTTACTAAGTGAGTGACTACCCCAACAACCAGTGTGAACCCAGGAGACTGGTAGTAATGTGACTCAGACTCAGGCTGTATTCGTGTCACTGTGACCAAGTGCTTATTTCTCAGTGTCAGAGGGTCCAGGTCATGGGCATTTTTGTCCTTGGGCAGAACACTGTGCCAGAGGAGAGCTATTCACAGCTAACCACAACCCTGTGGGTGTTACTACAAGGGCCCACTCCCAGAGACCTTTAGCCAGATTGCACATTTTAAAGTGTACGCAACCTCCCAAATAGTAAGATTTCAGGCTGACCTGGAACTCAGAGACCTTTGCACCCTGAGTTCTGGGATTGAAGGTGTGTTCCACCAAGCCTTGCTAGGACCAAGCATGAACTTGTGGGGGTACATTTCAGATTCAAAACAACATCCTTAAATCCTGGTGACTCACGGCTACTTAATATGGAAAGCCTAAGCAATTGAAAACTAGCAAGAATGAGAAGGTAATAATCATCCCTAAAAAAAGAATCACCTCCAAAAGCCCAGGGCCAGATGGATGAAGAACTAACAAATGTCAATACTCTGAAAATTGTTTCATAAAACACAGGGAAATAATGCTTCTAAAGTCGCTCAGTGGAACCAGTACTTCCCTGATACCAACCCAGGTAAGAACACCAAGAGGTGGGACAGGATAGCATTGCTGTTGACCAGTTTTCTTGGCTAATATAAAAAGCAGCAGGGACTGTTATGGACATAGAAACAGACACATGGACTGATAGGAAGAGAGAAGACCCAGAAATAATCCACAGATTCAATGATCGTGTGACTTTCGAGGAGATTGCCGAGAACCTTTTAAAGCTGTCCTCTTCAGTAAAGGATGCTTGGAAACATGGGTATTCACATGTGGAACGCTTAGATGGCCATCTCTCCCCCTGTACAAAATCTATTCAATGTAAATAAAACCCCTTAATGAATCTTGGAAACTACTCAACAAAAACAGGCAAAACATTTCAAGGTACAGACTATAAGTTGTTTTTGAGACAGTGTCTACTATGTAGACCAGGCTAGTCTCAAACACAATCTCCTTGCTTTAGCTTACCAAATGTTGGGCTAGATTCCAGGGAGTGTGTGTCATTGTGCATAGAGGCTATGATCTGGACAGGACAGGGCTCCAGAACATACTAGCAAAGTTGACAAACGTGATGAGGTCAAATTGAAAGGCTGCTGCATCGAAGAGACATTACCAGAGCGAAGATGTGGCCTATACCATGGGAGATCGTTCTCAGCTATTCTGACGTGAGAGTAATAGAATATACAGACTTAAAACTAAATGCCAAAAGAACAAGTATTTAAATCATTGATGAGCAACTGCATCGAGCACAGTTCTCAAGGTGTGTAAATGGGGGCTGGAAAGATGGCTCAGCATACCCGCTGTTGGAACTGGGTTTGATTCCTAGCATCCACATGGTGGCTCGTGGGCTGTCTTTGCTTCTGGGTTTCAGGGATTTGACCTCCCCTTTCTGGCCTCAGTGTGTACAGGTTGTGTGTGTGTGTATGTGTGCGTACACTCACAAGCAAAATACCCATATATGTAATAAAAGATGTCTTTTAAGTGCAGATGGCCAATAAATACGAATGCTTAATACAAAGAAAATAGAAATGAAAACTACTCTGAGATTCCATTTCACCCCAGTGAGAAGGTTGTAATAGAGACAACAGGTGGGTCAGAATGGTGTGGGTTGAAGAAACCCTACTGTTAGTAAGAATGTTCAGCTACTGCAGAAATCAGTGTGGGGATCCTCAATACATTAGGAATAGAGCTACCATCTGACCTATTCCACTCCTGGCTGTATCCCCAAAAAGTCTTAAGTCAGATACAATAGTGATACTTGTACATGCATCTAACCTGCCCTCAACGAATGGATACATGTCATACATACGTACAATGGAATTTTACCCACAAGGAAGACTCAGTCATTTGCTGGAAAATGGGCGGGACTAGAGACCATCATATAGAGACCAAAGTATGCTAGGCTCAGACAACATGTTTTCTCTCGTGCAGATGGTTGATGAGCGACAATTTGAAGATGTTAAGTTAGACTCTTTGGTGGGGAGTGCCGGAGTGAATATTCTTGGAATATACTGCGTACGTGGATGAGAGCATCGTAATGAAACCGTTGTTTTGTACAAACACCAATAAAAGAAAGAAACAGACCCTGTCATGTCCTGTTTCATTTGCATTGGGTTCACACCAACAGTTGTTACATTAGCGTTAATATGTTGAATATTACAAAAGTAGCAATTGTGTGCTCGGGCTCCTAAGACGGGGCAATGTGGCTTACGAATTTTGGCATTACTTTTTACTGTCTTACCTTGGACAAATATGGGTTACAATGTCTTTATCTAAAGTAGGACCCCACAGGAATGAAGATATAGTACTTGCCTCACACATGGAAGTCACTATGTAATCCTCCGCACCACAATAAATAATAACAGCCCACAAAGCATACAGTTTAAATAAGTAATATATACGTCGGTTATTAAAAGGTGCTCGGAGACGTGACACGGCTGTCATCCTATGCACTTGGGAGGCAGAGGGAGCTTGGCTGCTAAAAGTTTGAGGCTAATGATCTAGATAATTCCAGACCGACTAGGGTTGTGTCATGAGACCCTGTCAGAAAAGATCGAGACAAACCTGCTAAGTCAGCATTATCATTAGCATTTTTATTGGTTCTTTTTTTAATGTGTTGACTGTTGGAAGTATCTGGAAAATGAGTGAGTCTGTGCGATAGTGAAAAGGA